ATTCAGTTAGGCAAAAAAAAAAAATACATATTACACAATTTCTTCAGTCGATGTACAATCTTCAGTACCATTTTTGAGAAAGCAATAGCGCTGAAGCAGCTATAACTAAACTCTGCTCGGTTCGTTGTCATTACCGCCACCATCATAGCCGTCAAAGTCAAGAATTTTGAACTAATAATGTAGCCACACATTGTCAAAGCGAGAATTTCCTAATAAAATGAAATCCATTCAAGTTCCATAAGCCACAAGCAATCTCGTTAGACGAAAAACCCTTTTTTCCCCCGTTAGCTTTAGCTCAACGAGCGTGGGGTTGAAACAGAGTTAGAGAAACTCACTGCGTGCAGGTAGCAAAGAGAGAAAGAGCCTTTGCGACGGGGTCTCTCTCAATTATAAATTTCGCTGTCCGCACACGTGTACGGTTCCATGGCTGCGTGGTCATCGCGTTGCAACAGTAGAATCCTCGTTAAATCCGGAATGTGCGCCCGAATGGAACGCGGATTCCATTGTAATCAAACACACCAATTTCTCGGAATATTGTTTAACTTTAAACCGTATAGTTTTGCTTATGCACGGTATTATTTCCAAAATGAAAGAACCATGGCACAAAGCAAGGTTTCGTAGTAATAGAAAGAGGACTTTGCTAGGTATACACTGGAATACACAGATTATTGCCATACAATCACCTTGATTCTTTGCCATGGATACAAATGGGAAAAAAGACTTTTAGAATGAGATGGATACAAAGACAAGAGACACAAATAATACAATTTAGACAGCTAATAGATTTATTCACCACTATTTTTAGTTTTGCTTGGTTTCAATAGGCGTATGTATACTTTTTAAAGACTCGGAAATACATATATTTAATGAAAGTTGTATGTACAATAGACAGAGACACACAGAGGCAGATGTGAAATTGGTAGAAAACTGAAATATAGACATGTAGATGAGACAAAATATTAACCCTCAAAGACAATGCTTGTTTGGTTGCGGAGAATTGACTAAAAGAGATAATCACATGTAAAAAGTATAAGTATACGATGTGACAGATATTTGAGAAGAAATTCGAAAGCAAAGACACAACGCAATAACCTCAAGAAAGCTTGAAGTAAGAACCATGTATAAAATAGTGTATAGAGAATAGACTCTTGGTTATGCAAAATTAAAAAAAAAAAGAAATAAAAAGTTAAAAACAATTAGAGATATATTATCGTTAGAAGGCCGGAGCCTCCCTGCGGAGACACATACCTGACACCTTCTCGTAGGAGGAGAAAAGAGGGAGGGGGTGGGATTCGGTCGCGAGTCCATAACGTGCCACGTGGGTTAATCGCTAATCCCACAGCATGAGTTTCCGCGGCTTCCACAGGGCCCATGTTTCCAGCTGTCCATTGTCCCTGGGAATAATGAATTAACGAAAGATAAAGGACAGAAGGCAGCGGCGACAGACGCAGCAGGGGAAGACAGGAGAGCCTCGGCCGCGCGGCCGTCGCCGATAACGAGGGACAAAAGGAGCAGTACAGCAGAAGCACCAGCCGACAAAAGGGCCTTTTCCTCGCCTCCTTCCCTCCTCCTTGGCCGCTGCTTTGCTGCACCTATGTATACTATATTTACACCCAGTGTTTCTCCTCCAGACCATATAGTGACTTCCTTCTTCCTGTCCACGGGCTTTTGTGCCCTGTGTATACGTCTGTTGCAGGAAAGCGGAGATAGAGTACAAGGCGGTAGCCGAGCAGCGCTCAAGAGCAGGAAGAGAAGGTGTGGGTGTATACAGTGCACGTATATACCCACACGAGTACCGTACCTACGGCGCGCGCTGGAGTTGCTTTCGTGCCTCCACCGGGAGAAGGAAACATCGAGGGCCTTTATTAAACGTGCCATGTTGGTTGGTAGGGAATTGTACACAAGCCTTTACCAGCCTCGCTGTTTATGGGTGTACGTAAACGAGTCTTGGGATGAATCCAGTGTCTTTATTCGCAGCTCAAATGATTATCTTTGGCACCCCGTCACGAGACTTTTGGCGGAAAGAATATGCTCTATACAATTTTGATGTTTCGAATGAGGGTACGATTTATTTTTAATGCAGTAAGTTTTGTATTTCACAATTGCAGCTTATGCGTCAAGTGGGGAAACATCAAGGGATACACATTTTATTTTCTCATTGCAAACATTGTGATTTTTTCTTTTTTTTCTTTGATTGATCGACGAGGGGCACTCTGGAGTCTTTTTGAGATTTTTCAAGTCTTTTTTAATGACTTCAAGAGTGCGCAGCCCCTCGTTGATCGAATACTTTATACTTTTTAAATCTAGTTTAAATGGTTAACGATAAAAGTTTAATAAATACATTTTTCATTCAAGTGACATTCTCAGCTACAACTTTCAGTTTAATCGTGACAATTTCGACAGACGATGAATCATAAACAACTATAAGGATGAAAATTAATATACATTTACCACACGAATTATTTTTAATGTAACAATACGTTTTGTTCATTGTTTTATTTGACGGTGGTATTAACTTCCGTAATTTAATTCATTCGAGTAATTGCCTGCCGTAAAAAAAAAGTATGATATTAAAACGATATTACCATTCATACATTTTACATATGATTGTCACTCGTGAAGATCTGCCAGCTGATTCTGTTTCAATGGAACTTGACTCTTTTGTGACATGTACTCTGAATGCATCAATTTACTATATACTCTGATACACAAGTATAATGTTGAGATCGTCTCTTCGATTTTCGATTACACGTATTCTTCCTACACACTTATTATCTACGCTGACGTCTGAGATTGCAAGAAATATATATTATATAACTTGTCCAACTATGCTTAAAAATTAAACGAGAAACAGGAATCCAGCAACAAATTCGCACGTTACAAGTTAAATCGACATAGCAAAAGAGCCGATTTGAAACTACATATAGGGGTACGTGTACCTGTCTCCGTGGCACGTTCTGAAAATTCCAACTTAAATGCACCATAAAAAATGGTATACTAAAATTTTTTGGAATATTTTTTTTTTAAATCTTACATAATCTCTTACGGAATATTTACAAAAATTTTATGAAGCTAAAACTGCAGTAGAATATTTTTAAAACGAATAAAAACGGTATGCTGGTATTACCGTGGTGGTGTACCTATTACCGTGTACGTATTACCGCGGATGTATATAGGGTTATGTTTACGTACGCTCACCGCGGAAATACGTACACAATCAGTTAATGAGCGCGTTGTACCGAATACCGTGGAAAATAATTATTTACTCAAAATATACACAAATATTTCTGTTTGAATTGCATCTACATTAACGTCATTTTAGATTATTAAAATTGAAAAATTATTTTATATGAAACATTTCTTATTTTGAGCAAGTAATCATCAGTTTTTCAAAATCCACGGTAATAGGGCAGAGCACGGAGATAGGTACACTTACCCCTACATAATATAAACGTGTATGAATTCGAGTGAAAAAGCGACTCGTGCGTGTACAGTTGCGTACCGGCTCGAAAGAATTTTCGCAACAATCAACGAGTTTGCGCGCAACATCGTCGAGCGGCGAAACTCGATTTCTTCCCTCCCTCGCTCCACCGGAGAGAATTAAGCGCTCAAGGAAATTCCTCGAGAGTCACATCAGCCAGAAGTTCATCAGTCTCAAAACGAGTATAAATCTCTCTTAATAAGGCACGTCCCCCATTGTCATGTTTCCAAAGTTCCGCGTTGATCCGCCTCCGTCCCGCCCTCTCTCTTTTTCTCCTGTCCCCCCTACACCCCCCCACTTGTCGCCCGATCGTTCGCCGACTCGAACTACCGAAAGGCTTGTTAACGTCATCCCCAAACACTTTTGGCTCTTTGGGGAAAACGGCGCGTTGTCACTCGCAGCCCGGCACTAATTAATTTTCTCCTGCTTATCGACTTAGCAAATTTTCCGGCCACTCTTTCGTTTTACCTCGACGTTCCCGTTTAACGCCTCGAATCGGAAAGAAAGAAAGCACCCCCCGATTGACCCAAGTGCACCTATACGGCATTCAAAATCAAATTACCCCGTGTCAACTCGGATAAATTATTACATCGATTCTCCAGCTGTCCCTCCACCAAATCGAAATTCGAGCGTTCAATCGAGTCGACTATCTCTATTTTCCCCCCCCCCCCCCGAAAAAACACCCACCGAAAAATCTCGACCTCGGAGCTTCCCTCCCGCAAATCAATCCGCCAGCTCACGTACGTACACGCGGGCCAAAAGAGAAAAATAAGAGAGAGCACACCCGTAAACTTGTGTGAAGGCGACGACACCTCGGTAGAGGGGGGGGGGGAGGAGACTCTGTACATCCATGCAAAAGGTGCACACGAGCTCAGCAGTCGGTCGGGCTTTTGCACTGCACCCCGAGGTCGGTGCATCTGCACTCGAGGCACGGAGCCGACAGTTCCGTGATGACCTGCCCGAGGCCGTACATACGCCCGTATATGTTGCAGCCCGACACTTTCAGCAAACCCCCTCCGGGGTCTCTGTCGTCCTCGACCCTCGCCTCCGTCGTCGTGGTCGGTTCGAGCGCCGTTGCGAAGGACGACGAGGGTACAATCGTCGTTTTCGGCGCCGTGCTCCTCGTCCTCGTCTTTGCAGTCGTCGAACTTTTCGTAGTCGTCTCGTTGATTACCGGCTCGCCGAAAAACAGATCCAAGACGCCGTCCAGCGAGAACAACGACGAGTCGCTTTCACCGACCTTCTCCCCCCATCCACCCGTACTTTCACCCCCGCTGGGCTGCTCGTACGGGCTGATGAGGTTCCGATCAGCTGTGGAAGTTGCCGTGATGATGGCGGGAGTGTCGTTGTCGCCGACCGATGGGGGAGCTACCGCGTAGCTGGTCGGGCTGGTGTGGTCCGCGAGGTAGGGCATCATCATGTCGCCGATGAGGGAGGGCAGGTCGGGCGCCGGCTCCGTCTTTATCACGTCCCGGAAGGGGTCAGCCGAGACGGTCGGCTCGTGCCTGTGCGCGGCCGTCGCGTCCACGCGGTCCAGCACGACTGTGGGCGACTCCACGTCGTCGTCGGCTGACGAGGAGACAAACAAAAACAAGGGGGATGGTATATGGTGAGGAAATTGAAGGGAGATAACGATAAGCCTTACCACAGATGATTTTGCTGCAACAGTCGTCGTTCGGGTTGTTGACCAGCCGACAGCCGATCTTCAATTGGGGGCACTTTTGGCTCGAGCACACGATTTCCCCGTAGTAGCAGATGCAGGTCGCGCAAACGGCTCTGCTCGGCAGGATTTGGCCGTGGCCGTACTCGTGCTCCTCGTAAAGACAGTGGCTCGGCACGACTGGTGGTTTTTTTTTTTTTTTTTTTTTGTAACAATCGTAAAATTGTAACTAATCGTTCGTCACGTCGTGACCGAACGAGCAAACTCGCGCACAGGGGAATAAATAACTTTTTTAACCTTTTTCCTTCCTTTTTTCTTTTTTTTTTTTTTTTTTTTTTTTTGGTTTTTCCAAACGACAGAGGACAAATTAACGATACGAGCTATCGAGCACAATCATTGGTTATCGATGAACGAGGATTTACCGTCATTTTTCCTGTGCGAGTTTGGAGCCGCGTGGGTTTCCGGGGCGACGGTGACGCCGGTGCCGATCTCCAAATTTAGACTCGAAGCGTGGAAAAGTGGGTCAAAGTACGGTGGCTCCCGGGGCACGAAACCACCTGTTGGGGCAGACGTGGAACAACGTATCTTGATCACTTATTTCACTTGAGATATTTTGCTTCTCGAGATTAATGCTTCCAAACTGAGGAATCATGATACTTTGTAAAAATGTACTCTGTCAACGTTAGAAGGAAACTCTAATTGAACAATAAGAAAGAAAGTATCACCGCGCCAAATGAGATCGGTCAAGGGTGAAATTTGTGATTAAAGACATTGATTTTTGAAACACGCCGTAATTGAATAACGTTGTAAAAAAAAGCACCAACCTTCCGTTTTCTCGGGCGGGCTGAATCGGTTCTCTTGGGTGACAATGTCGTAAAAATTCGCGTCCTTTGGGCCCAAGTCCGGTGGTGGGACCGCAGCCGCGCTCGCCGGATACCCGGTCACGGCAGCTGGTACCTCGTCGTCGCTCTTGTCCTTAACCAGGGCATCCGCTGCTACGAAAGGGATTATCCTGCGGAACGAAACGCGCGCGAAAGCCCTTGGTAAATGACTTGCGTTTTCTTTTTTTTTTTTTTTCTTCTTAACTTGTCCACCCCATCCCTGCCATTTATCAGCAGCTAATTATTGACATTATCTCGAAAGTGCGCGGCTCCTTAAACCTTTTTACTGATGCAAACGAGATTTACCTCCGTTTGCTTTTTATTACGTTGCATGAATATTCTCGGACGGTTGTTTTTACGCGCGCCCATCCCTCCAAGTGAGATTATAACGTGCCGGCTATTTGTTACTCTCCAACATTAATCTGGGCTTTTTCTCGCATCCCAGGTCTTACGGACGAATAAAACAGACAACGGCACACCACACAGATAATCATCAAAAGAGTCTGTTCATCGTATGATTAGAACAATTTCGATGATGGAAAATAAGTAATTTTAAGAAGTAAATACAAGTTGGCTCGTTAGACCAATTGGATGAAATAATCGACAAACAATAGAAGAAGAAAAAAAAGTACTCACCTGACGTTGGGCAAAGAGGGCGGCAGCGTGGGACTGCCGTAGTCGTAGTCGTAGTCCTCGCCCTTGGCCCGGTTCGTGATGTTGAGTATGGCAGCGATGTCGGGGGCGACGGGCTTGCCCATGGGATGGATGTCGACGCCGTGCAAGTGTCCCACGGCCACGTTAGTCCTGACGGTGACGTTCATCACGAGCATGTCGTCGGGCACGAGCACCGAGGTCGACGGACCCGTCTCCCCTTTTTCCTTCCCGGGCGACGAGTCGGCGCTACCTCCCGTCTGATTCCTCGCGGGTTCTTCTACTTCTTTTCCTACTTGTCCGCTCGTTGATGTTGGTGTTACGCCTGTGGAGGCCATCGTCGTCGGGGGAGTGTTTGTCATCAACGCCGGCTTGCTTGATGCACTCGACTTCGATGATGATGTGGGTGATGACGAGCTAGTGCTCCTCGTCGTTGTCGTCGTTTTTGCCGCGAGATCCGTGATAGTCGTTGACTTTATCGGGCTCTCGAGACGAACTCTGTCACTGAAAGTCAATTTCAAAGGCCCATCACACCCAATTCTTCTCATTTTCCTTTTTTCAAATTACAGCGTGGAAATTCAATATCGCGAGTGTATATATATATATATATATATATATATATATACATACATACATAGATGCAGGCATAAACCCGTGGGCCAATAAACGCAAATGCTGAGACTCGTAAGGAGTCACTCGAGCCCCGGTGAAGAACTTAAATTGCAATTAAAAAAAAAAAAAAAAAAAAAAAAAAAAAAAAAAAAAAAAAAAGTAAAACTCGTACCTTAATACACTTTGTAAAATTACAAGTAGAGACGATGGCACTTACTTGTGACTAGTAACAGTGGTAGTAGTAGTAGTAGTAGTAGTATTGGTATCAACGGTGTCATCGCTCGATTCAGCGATAACGGGGGTAGACTCGGAGGGCGGCACTTCCGTTATGGGGGCGCTGCCGCTGACGACGAGGAGGCTTCCAGTAGTGGTTGCGGTCGCGCCTTCATCCACCGTCACCGATGACGTCTCATCAGCGGCGCTGGTGGCAGGAGCCTCGCTTATCGTCGTCGTGGTCGTCCACTCCGACGCAGTGCTCGTCGGCCAAATATCCTCGACATCCGAGTACGTAGTCGACGCCCCACCGTTATCATCTTCCTCGTCACCGGCTTGGGTGGTTGCGGCTATCGGGTCGCGCGTCGTTACCGCTGATTGATCGTAGCTCGGCGTGTCCGCTGCCATCGTCGAGTACTACGGATCAATCTTAATTGAGCGAAGCTTTTCTATTTCACGGATAGACACTGTCCAGGCGTTAGGGGGTACACGCCACGGTATATTCATGAGCCAACCGATTTATTATCGGCCAATTGCGTCAAACTTTCGTACGTACACAATACTGGTAAATGGACGGAGGAAGGGAAAAAAGGGTAGGCGGGCTAGAGTATATTAAATGTACGTACCTCCGAGGTGACGGCAGTGGGCTGATCGGCGCGACTGGTGGGCCTGGCTGGGTAATCGGGAGCGGCGGTTTCGGTGGGTATTTCGTTGTCCATAGTTTCCGTTTCCGCGAGCTGTCCCGGAGTTGGCGAAGCTACCGGTTGCGTCGATTTGGTTGCCACGGCGAGGTTGTCCGTGATGGTTTCCGGCGCCGTGACTCCACTGGACTCGAGGGCCTCGTTTACGACCCGGTGACCCCGGCCCTCGACGCTCGTCTGCACGAGTAGCGCCGAGTCGTGAATCGCAGGCTATACATATACATGGCATATACAGCATTTTCTAAGTTGTTTGGGATAACGAGCTCCAACTATTTTCGCCCCCTCCCCCTCTCTTCTTTTATGCCCCTACATTTTTTTTACTTTTTCTCTGCTCTCTTGTGTAAGTGTATACGGTTATTTCGCTCCACCGTGATTTTAGCTAGTTTTTTTTCTTTAGAGTGCGTACAATTTATTCCGTTGGGAGATATACTTGGTGCTTGCTCGGGCGTGTCTTAATTACAAAGGCGCTCCAGCATCCGGGCGGAGGCTCAAAGGTTTATCATTTAAAATAATGAGCCAATTGAAGGTGCCACTTGGATGGATTTTTCAATGGCTATATACAGTTGGAGTTTCGTTCGATGGTTGATTGTGTGTACTTTGTGCGAGAGAGCACGAGCAAAGTGAGACGGGACCAAATGGCAATGATATAAAATGTATACGAGAAATCGCGAGAACGCGAATGTGAAGAAAGAAACTAAAAATTTACTGCGGAGATTGGGCCTGCTTTTGAGGCATTTCTTTTTTTTTTGAACGAACTTTTTTTAATTGAACGAATAATCAATTTAAAAATTTTCAATTGAAACAAAGGCCGGGGCTTACGTAAAATTTCGTTTCCTTGCGAAACTTGGCGTAATCCTTGCTTATGAACGCGTACGAGGCGTAATTCTGCGTCGCCTTCACTTCAATGGTGCCACCTAAAAATAAATACGTTTCAAGGTAAAACGAGGGTAGTTGAAAAAAACAAAGGAAAATCAATACGTTGATCAAAGTATATAGCAACACGTGACTCTCACTGCAGTTGTAGGTGGACGGGCAGCACTGGCCTTCTCGCACGATCGGCTTGCATCCCTGCAGGGGTGGAGCGCACGACAGTGGTACGCAGCGTATGGCCCCCATGGCACAGAAACAATTGTCACAGGTGGCCTTTCGCGCTATGTCGCGCACCATCTCGCCCTCCTGGTAAGTCCGATGACTCGTACGGCAGCCTGTTGTCGGTGTAAGTCAAACCCGACAATTTACAGTTATACATTTGTGTGTTTGGTGCACATTATGTTGTAAGTTATAAAACAGTACACGTGTGTCTGTCTGGCTTTACTTGGGAGGGGGGGGGGCAGGAGGGGCTGATTGTGCGACAACATTCGTTCTTTGTTAATTGTTATTTGTTTGAAGTTGTTACCGTAAAATTGTTTTGTTTGATGTTGTCGAGGACAAGCTATATCGATAAAGTGTTTTATTTCTTTTTATCTTTGATTGAAACAAAAACTCGTAATCAACGGAAAGATCAACGGTTAATGTAGAGCATGAAATTTGAATAAGGATTTGGAAACAAAGGTATTTTGATCAATCGATCATTTGAACAGGAATTCATTTTGCTCCTTTTCAATCACATTACTGTTATTCAATTCCACTCTATGCAAAACGTAATAAAAATGGCACTATATCTGCCATCCCACGAATTAATACATTAACGGCAACTTGAAAAAGACCAATACATTTTTAAGGCCACTACTGAAGTATTTATCAAAACCAAATTACGTGCTAAATCTATGGGATTTTTATATTTACGTCTCGTCGAATGATTCGGGTGACGTTTCCCCACCTCAAAAGATGCATGGCTCACGCGATAAAATCCGTTTATTCAAGATTCGCGGGATGGTTCGTTCAGAGCGGGGAAACAAAAAAAATGTATATTCGAGTAAGAATAAAAATAATTGTAATTTCATGGTGGAACGAGTATTAAATTATAGGTACATTATATTGTCAATCACTACCACGTGTGAGGATTGAAAAATTATCCAATGTAAAAGTAGCGAGTGCAAACGTCTCGTGAGGTCAACGCGATGCGATTCTCGAAGAAGGGGTATAGCATCGCGTGCAGGGAGCCCCTTTAAGCCGAAGAGTAAAGACAGACAGACACGCGGGCGAGGTTTTCCCACTTGGCTCTCAAGAGGGACGCGCGTGCACATACTATACGTAAAGGTATGGAAAGAACGTGGCAGCACTTACCGTTTCCCGAGATGGCCGCCAGGGTAGTCGAGAAGTCGACCTGGCCTGGCGAAACAACAGATAGGGAGACCGGTCCCCGGCGCACCGAGTGACAAACAATCATAATGCAGTGAATCTTAATGTAAATATTTATCGCTACAATATAACGTTGTATAATTAATCATCCCTCGTCTCTCGCCGCGTTTGGTTGGCTCGCTCTCTTCCACCCCCTCCTTACCACCCGCTGTGTATATATTTGCGTGTGGATCTGTCTTTGGACGAGGGAGCATTTTGCCGTCGAGATTAAGGCAAACATCAGTTATCCTCTTGAGTTACGGCTTTTATAAATTGCAAGTCGTTAAAACCAAATTCATCACGAGGATCATTCGGAAACGCGAAATATTTTCAAACATTTCTTTCGTCAACTTTTGTTGCTTCTTCTTTAAACCCGATAGAGCCAGCCAACATCTATTCTATGATATATTCGGAAAGTGAGTGCTTCACGCGAACTCACTCGCACATGTACGTTTTTTCAACAAAGACACAATTTGGCACAAAAAAATCATTTTAATGTACGAGCAACGGAGCAACCATCTAGTACACACAATAGCAACACACACGTGTGTATATATATATATATATATGTATATATATATGCATGGGGGTGTATACTCACGAGTGCAGTTGTAAGCCACGGGACAGCAGGAGTGGGGCGCGTACAGGGGGGCGCATCCGGGCAGGGGGAGGAGGCACTTGGGCCGGATGCATCTTCGGGCGCCGGAAATGCAGTAGCAGTACTCGCAGCGCCGCGAGCCCATCATGGCCGAGCCCGGCCCGTACCGGACGCCCTCGTGCAGGCATCCTGTGTCCACCCGACATCGGCAGCAACGACACAAGTGCATTAACGAGACAAGTTGACCCGCGTCAATGTTAATGGCTCGTGTTTTACATCCGTGTGCGCGTATAGGCACGCGAGTGCAAAGAGGACTATATCGCGAGGGAACATGGCCCTTTGATGGCCCTTTCTTTTATGGGGAGTTTTTGTGGTAATAAAATGAATGACCAGGTAGGTCGTTAGGGGGGGGGATTATTTTTACGGCTGGAAGATGCAATTTTTCATTTTGCGGTATTTACGGGCTTGCGGGCTGTTTCTCCGTAAATCGCTGTAAAAATCGTATCGAATGAAAATTACCTTCTTCCGTCTTGCGGTGCTGAACCAGGGCCGTCTTCGATCGATGAAGGATATTCTCGTTCACTTCTACACCAATTTGACGATTTTACATGAAAATATAAAATCGTATGAATTTTTACTTGTAAAATCCATATAAATTTGTACGAAATAAAGTCAGTTTATGGAAAACCAGAGCAACGCGACATATCAATGCCTGAACCAATTCGTGTTAGCGATCGTGGATCGAATAACGAAAGCTGGGCACAAAAAAGCAATTACCATCCAATTAAAATTCTCTCTTGTCCGCGCGTATCCCCCCCGGGGGGGCATAAATTTAGCAGTCAATTCGCAATCGTTTGTAAATTATTATATTTTGCCTGTCATTGCGACTGTTGCCCCCTTATTGTTGTTTCACGCGGGGGTAGCTCAATGAGATCCCCGATAATAAATTTCCACCGTTCGCCGTGTACCCAAGGGCACAAATAATTAAAGAAAAGTGCGCTGCGACGATGTCAAAGCCAAAGAGTGGATCCGTAGTCGGGGTGGAGCAAACGAGCACCGCTACTGCGGGATCGGGAGTAGAGAGAGAGGCTGGACGGGGAAAAACAAACGTAAGAGTGGCGCTTTGTGAAACGGGATATCATCACGCGGAGCGCGCGTTTTTCTTTTAATTAAAATTTTACCCTCCCTCCCTCTCTCTCTCTCTCTCTCTCTCCTCCGACTCCGTTTTAATTTTCTGCAGATCCTTTGAATGTTTTGCCGTGTCCTTATCGTTTTTTTGCCCCGATGACTCGCAAACGCTGGCTTGCGCTCGGCTCACGCTCATTCAAAATTGTCATACCCCACGCGCTGCTAGACCGTGTCCTTATGTACGCGCCGTGAGGATTAATTATTTTTAATTCAATTAACTTCAACCCAAAGGTGGACAAGAGAGAAAACTTCACTTCGAAGCGAATAAGTGTGAAAAATGGATTTTCCGCCATTGAGGCGCGTCAGCCTCATCTGCCGTCGGACGGGGTGGGCTGCACCGCACTCCAATAAAACCGAGGGGGATGGCCAAGGGTGCGTTTGTCAGTTGAAATGGGCAATCGGTGTGATCGATTTCCAAAGAGTTGCGGGCAAAGTTACCGGTTGGTCCATATCGATTTGTCCCTCCATCGAACGCCCGCGGTTGGTACTCACCCTCCTCGGGGCCGCAGATGAGCTCGGGACAGCAGGCGTTGTCACTGGGCGGCCTGAGCCGGCAGCCCACGGGCTCGGGCTGCGGCAGTCGCGGACAGACTCGCAATCGACAGCGCAGCGAACCCTCGAGGCAGCGGCACTGCAGGCACGGCTCCGCGGTGCTCACCGGGTCGCCCTCTTGGTAGCGCTTTCCCTCGTACCGGCACCCTGGAATTTCATTATAGTTGTTCTTTGTACAAAATTCAACATCTTTTACATTTTTTAAATAGATTTATGAGAATTAAAAAATTAAAATTTCATTATAATATATGTAGGTAAGAATAGTGAACATGTCTCTCTGAGGCCAGTTCACTTTAATATAAAAAAAAAATATGTAGGTAAGGTTTTTTTTATACTTGACGGAAAATTGAAGTCATGTTTATGGATTGTACGTGGATCATAGATTTCGGTTTTAACGTTATTTAATGTAAAATATGTATTAAAGTGAAGTAAAATAATACTCAATCAATTATTTATTACCAACGAGTAAAAACAACCGAATCAACTGTACAGAGAGAAAAAAAGTCATACTAAAAATAAACTTTCCTCTTCCCTCTTGATTTACAAAAAAAAAAAAAAACATTTTGATTTTTAAACACTAGCCTACATTTATGTTTTTGCGTTTTTAATTATAGTACATCTACTAATTATAGTACTCTGGTAGACGTTTTAATATTCGCTCCCAACTGCATTCACTTTTCGTAAATTTATGATTAGACCAGCAATAACTTTTTTTTTTTTTTTTTCAATACACTCAATGCATAAAAAAATAAACGAGCTGCACCTCGTTCGGCTAATGTATCCTTCAAAGTGTAAATATTAAATCCCGCGAAACTGGCGCACTTTTTTTTTATAACGCTTAAATATTCATTGCCACGGAAAAACTACACCCCTGCATGAAAGAATTGAGCAAATGAGTTTGCTTTCCTTAGGCGATATACTCGTAAATAGCGATTAATTTACCATTGATATAAATATAGAGAGTCAAAAGCGTTAACGAAGCGCATACGAGCTTTCATCCGCGTAGCAGGCAAATTTTCGAATAATGAAAAGCAGCTTGTTGTATCACAATAGATTCCATATATTCGAAAGTACATTGTATGCGCCGCATCTTCCTCTCAGCCGATGCCCCTATCTGTAAGTACCATTGTGCAGCAGGGAAGTTTTCAGCTGGCTCTTATTGTCCACTACAACAATGAGTTTGACTTGCATATAGGTGCAACGTAATCTCGTATTTTATACGTGGACACCTCGACAGGCAAATATATTTACATTGGTCTTATCGAACTTGCATGATTGTTAGTTAATCAAATGTATACTCAAACTGTCAAAGTTACCGCGCGGTGCTCTATGTGAATTTATTACATATA